TAAGTTAATACCATAAATCCCCGACTTATAGTCCGTGTCGTCTAGTCACGCCTGTACTTGGAGGTCGACGCGATACAAGTTCTTTCTGTGGACCTTTACTGCCGGGTTTGTCTGGTACTGGTTTCCCGACCTGATCTTTCCTGCTCTTGGCTATTTCACTTGGATTTGCTGGATTGCGCCAAAGAACGCAGTCGTCAACCAAGTTTTTGGCATGAAGAGTGGAATGGGGCTGCTCCCATTTACCTTTGACTGTAAGCACTGACGTTTGGACCCTTAGTCCATGGTAGAGCTCCATCAAGGGTACTAACATGCTGAAATAGGGAGCCAAATATCGTACATCGGCTCGCCCCTCATTGTTCCAACCTGGGTCATCTTCAATATCCTTGCGGCTGTCGTTTTTTGGATATGGATCATAACGCCGGCATTATATTACTCCAACACGTGGCTGTCAGCTTACCTCCCTTTGCAAAGCAACTCAATATTTGACAATAGCGCCAAGGTGTACAATGTGTCAAGGGTGATAAATGCCAAGAATGGGTTCACCTTTGATGAGGCCAAGTTTGCTGCTTACTCGGACGTATGTTCTGTGCTGCCTTCACTTATATCAAAGCTGAACTGACTTACACCACATGTAGATCCGATTGCCCGTAACATATGCGTTGAACAAGTTCGGCCTCGCTTTTGCAACATTTGCGTCCCTTTTCACATGGTTGTTTCTCGAAAAGCGACGGGAGCTTGGCGGCCTTGTGCGGCAAGTCCGAGAAACAAAATTGTGGCCGAATCGAGCCTCTGATACACATGGAGAAAAAAGTGCTCGGCAAGACTGGTCTTCGCGTTATCCACAAGCACCTTTGTGGTGGTACGGCGCTGCCACTCTTCTCGGATTGTTCTTTGCCATGTTTTCTTGTGAATACTACGCCGTACAACTGCGGTGGTACGGCGCAATTCTAGCCTTTGTAATATCCGCTGTTTTCTTCATCCCGGTGCGTGAATCGATTGTATTGAAATGCATTTCTGGGACTCAAATCTAACAAAAGAAAACAGATTGCTTGGGTATTCGCAACCACAAATACAAAAATTAGCATTGAGCTCTTCTGCCGCCTGGTTGCTGGATATCTTTGGGAAGGGAAAGTCCTTGCTAACATCTGGTTTTTCTCCCTCGGATCTATATCCACTACCAAAGGTCTTGCCTTTGCGCAAGATCTTAAGCTCGGAATTTACTGCAATGCAAGTATCACTATATCTCGTTCGATTCTTGAGCGAAGCAGCTGACAGAAAGGGCAGATCCCCCCCCGCCACTTGTTCCTCGTACAGGCGGTGGGCTTGGTTGTTGGTACTGTTTCTCAAGTCGCGGTGATAAACTGGGCTCTTAACCATATACCCAACATTTGCACCTTCAAAGCGGCTAATGGGTTCACTTGCCCATTTTCTCGCACTCATTTCAACACCAGTATGGTATGGGGGGCCGTTGGGCCTCGCAAGTTTTTTGCCCCTGGAGCGTCGTATCGGCCTCTTCTCTGGTTCTTCCTGCTTGGATTTCTTCTACCAATTGCTGTATACGGCCTACGACGCGTATTTCCGAATGCTAAATGGTTGCGCCGCGTACATGTGCCATTATTCCTCGGCGGGATGGGATACATTCCCCCAGCCTCAGGCACGAACTATGGTGCTTGGGTTGTCGTGGGACTCCTTTTCGGCCTCTTGGTAAAGAGGAACAACAAGACCTGGTGGAATAAATACAACTTTGTTCTTAGTGCAGCGCTGGACTGCTCGACGGCCATTGCAGGCATCTTGATCTTCTTTGCCGTGATATATACAGGGGCATCGAAAGACTTCTCATGGTGGGGTACGACGGTGCATACGGTAAGGCGACCCCTGGAATTTGGACTCGAAGTTTTGATGCTGACCAAACGCAAGAACACGTGTGACTGGAAGGCATGTCGATACTTGAAGCTTGCCAAGGGGGCCAAAATGCCGTGAGATCGGTGGCAGGTAGCTTAATAAGATGACCAGGAAAGTAATCAAGTGTTGAGACAAGTGCGGCGGAATTTGAGACTTTCGAGTAAAGTGCTGGGATTCGCCAGAGCTAGTGATATTAGTATTAGGACTGTCATAATAAAACACTGCCAGGTGACCTTGATTGCGCTTGCTTGCTCAGCTGCCTCTGGGACTGATGGTGCAAGAATACCATGACATGCCTGGCGTGGACCGTCTCATGCTTCGTTGAGACAACTACCGATCGAGACTGCTCCGCATCATAGACATCATCACACGCGCTTGAGCTCCGTGATTGGTTCTTTTTTTCCCGCGTATTTTGGATGATCATGTTACAGCTGAATCGCCAACAGCCACTCGGGAGTCGGTATAGCCTGGCAACTCGAAGCGAGTCTTGTTCACACCCACTGTAGAGATCAAGTGGTGCATTCTGGTCTGTGTGGACGCGGCAGGGGGGAAGCGGCCCGGCACGGCCCGGCCAACGCTGACCTTGCTTGTACTTCGTCGTACGAAGTCAGGGGTGTATTCGGTAGACTGTAGAGAATTGATGATGGAGGAACTATCCGGTGTGATGAGAATTGCCAGGTGAACAAGCCCCAGAGTGATGGCAGGTTGAAGACATGACCAGGTGAATACGTGTAGGTACCGAGGTACTTTTACGCATCGTCCGAGACCATTGTCATGTGAAGTCTAGTCTATTGTCATGTCTACAATAGGAAAGAACTGACCCAGAGCCCTTGCCGCGGGGCCCGCACAGGCAGCTCCAACCTTGATGGTGTTTTTTTCTGCGATCTGCCAACCAATTTCACGCGGTAACACCATTGCACGAACAAAGAAAACCACAGCATCCAAAATCCTTGCTATCGTCCCAAGCCTTGGATCATCAGCTCAGCATCCTGTCCAACAGTCTATGTTTGTGTCTCATCGCACTGTTGAGCTCTGGTGCGACTGTTTATAGTCCCAGCAACGGCGTGACTGCAATTATTCAAACAGCCCCAGTCCAGCATCCATTTCCAGATCACGATCTTGCATTGTGGTCAATGCAAATCTTTCTGAACGACCATATTAAGTCCTCATCACCACGAACCACTCACGCACAGCCATGGTCCAAATGTTCCGGGGTGCCTTTGCCCAGTCGTTCTTCATCCCGAAGCCAGTTCTTACAGAAGATAATCTGCCGGACCAAAGTGGAAAGGTACATATAGTAACTGGAGGGTATGCTGGCATTGGGAAGGAGCTGAGCACTATCCTTTATCAACATAATGCTGTCGTTTATATTGCTGGAAGAAATGAGAAAAAGGCAGCGACTGCCATTGAAGAAATTAAGGCGCAACACCCAGACTCTCAGGGCAGACTTGAATTTTTATCATTAGATCTCTCGGACTTGACCACTATCAAGCCAGCCTTGGAGGAATTCTCTGCACGGGAGAAGCGACTCGACGTACTAGTCAACAACGCTGGAGTCATGATGTGCCCCAAGGATGCTAAGGGGAAGCAGGGCCACGAGCTTCAACTAGCTACCAACTGCTTAGGACCATTTCTCTTCACCAAGGGTCTCGTTCCCGTCTTGAAAGAGACGGCTCTCGTTAGCCCACCAGGCTCAGTGCGCGTCATTTGGGCCAGCTCCATCACCGCCAATCTGCTGTCACCCGCCGGGGGCGTCAGGCTTGGTGAGGACGATGCACCGCAGACTACTTCGTCGCAGTCCACGAATTACGGCCAAACCAAAGCAGCCAATAACTTTTACGCCGCCGAGTTTAGTAGGCGGCATGGAGGTGATGGTATTTTGAGCGTCGCCTTCAACCCAGGCAACCTCGCCACCGAGCTCTCCCGCCATCTTGGACCAGTTGACTTATTGACTGCCAAGCTGATTAGCTACCCATCTCGGCTCGGTGCTTACACAGAGCTATATGCCGGTTGGAGCCCCGATATCAAGATGGAGGATGGTGGCATGTTTGTAATCCCGTGGGGTAGAAGGGGCAACGATATTCTACGAAACGATTTGCGAGAGGCAATTGAGGAGTCTGCAACTAATGACAAGTCTGCACCTAGACGACTCTGGGAATGGAGTGACAGGGAAACTGCGCAGTACGCGTAGGTGCGACCGATTCCTTGGATTTACACAAATTCCCCGCGACAACTGGTTGCTAAGGACCTTATTTGCGAATAAGTTTGGCCGGAATTGTAATGTTAAAAATTCCAGTAACGAATACTCGTACCACCAGGCACGCCTAACATTTTGACTTCAATTTAAACACATCCAATCAATGGTTCTCGTCCCGGCGTGACTAGCCCTGTGTGGATCTGGGTAATAACACGGAGTACGCTGAGGAGTTTGTTGGCACATAATATATGCAACTCGTCTGAGTATGCAATCATACATTATTTACCAAGCATACCGTCCTCTGCTGAATGTGCGTAATCACAATGGATTCGAAGCTGTCGCGTACAGCTTTTCAGACTGTTGTACACACACCGAGTCCTACCAGCCTACGGAGTACTTTATCCGTAAACCCCGAGAAACCCAACATCTACACCGGGTAGGGATACCAAACAGCTACGACATGCCCAGATCTGCACATGGCCAAGTCGAGTGTCAGACATGAACTCGAAGGTATAAGCTCAGTTTCATACCTACGTTTAGATACCGGCCATGCCCGGTAGCGAGGTTTGGACTAAACCGGACACCGAGACCCGCTTGTGGTTGATGATAATCAGTCCTTGGGATTTGTGCATAGGTCCTATAGATTGCTTTCATTATTGCACGTTTACCATGAGACCGTCTGTCTACTGGGAAATGATTTATGACCACCATCCATCAGCGCGAACATTATCCAGTCTACTAGGGAGAATTCTAGACGTCTAATCACAGACAGTCCATTCAACATACTTGGCCAAACCCGCAGGTAATACTACATTCCATCAGGAATGTGAGATAATTAAATAAACAGAATGATGTAATGAGGTGGTAGCATTATCACATGTAATACTAAAAGCACGGCTAATTAAGCGCTGACGGCGACGGCCGCAGATGACAATGGAGGCGCTTCTTGCTTCGCCTTTGTACCGTAAGAAGCAGACCGAATTGACGGCTCCAGAGGGAACACTTGATTCTCAGCAGTTACATTCCCATATACCCTATCCAAGGTACTCTGCAGGGCAGCAGGCGTGTCCCAATGCAACTCCTCGTCTCTCAACCACAGGCGGATAAGGTGGCGTCTGCATAGGAGTCAGAGGCGAATTCAAGCTTTTCCAGTGAGAATACGGGACGCTTACTGTTTTTCCGGAGAGTCGCGGAACCCTCCCCTGGCATGAAAAATACTCAAGTTATTGACAAACTGAATGTCGCCGGGGCGAAACTCGAGAGCCAGTGCGTGCTTCTCCGCCGTGAAGTGCACCGCATCAAGGGCCTCGGCCTGCGCCTCCGTGATGGCCGGGATGTTGGCACTGCGCGGCAGGCCCCAGTAGCCTGTGAATGACCGTCGAGCATACTGGATAACGACGCGCTCGGGGTGGTTGTTCTCAGCAGGCTGGTAGTACAAGAGCGGTCGAGACAGATATCCCGGCGGGCCAGTCTTGCCAAATCTGCAATCACATGAGAAACCAGACTCTTCCTGAGGATTCACCCCCGATATTTCCACAGTAGGGCAGGGGAGGAACTTACCCATCGACATCCCAGGGCTCGGCCAGCGTTCGGATCAAATCTGGCCTTGTGGCTGCCAACTCGTTGTACACGGTCCAACTGCTGGACAGAAAGCTCTCGCCGCCTTCGGCCGCCGCAGCCAGGGCAAACAGGGCAATCACATCGCCTGCGTCCGTATGGAAGACCTGCTTCTCAGTTGTGTACGCGGGGGACCCGATGCTCTTGGCGTCGGCGTGGGTAGACAGGTCCTTGACGTGCGCGAGAACGACATCGGCCGGGCGGCCATTGTACTCGTGGTCCTGCCGCCCTCGAATGTTGGCCACATGAGAGGCGATGCCTGCGTAAATGATGATGTTTTCCTCTCTGGTGTACTTGTCGACGGGAATGCCACGAATGACTTTGAATCCGTGGCCGTTGTGCACGTCGGCGGAAATGGATCGCAGGCGAGGATGGAGTTTGGGCAGGGGGAAGGTGAGTTGGCTGATCTCGCCGAGCGGCTTGTTCAGACCTGCTTTGCGTCAGAGGACGCACACGGTTTCTGCTGTCAGACCATTTTAACTCTTACTTTTGAAGTAATCTAGGGCTTCTTGAATCTCTTTGAGTTCAGACTGGTTCAACTCGTAGGACCAGTCGTACTCGTCTGTGACTGTGGCCCCGGTCCATGCCAAGCTGGACTCTAGCTTTTGCGGAAACCCGTCAGGAAGAGTGCGATCGATTTTCTCAGTCTCTTGGCGTCTCTTGATGCGCTCTTGGTACGTGTCCCAGTTGGGCGTGTACGCAATGTCAGGTTGTCCCAGAGGACCTGTTCTGCTGGCTGTCGTCGCCGCCATTTCCCGCAATGAGTATTTTACTGTGGTGACTTAGCCCGCGGCGATTATTTGCAGCTCACAAAGACAATATTTACATGTTTCGCGCTTGTTGGGGACGGACGGAACTTATTAGTGTACGGATCATCATGCCGCGCATGTCTGCCCATCCACACTCCTCCAATGGCGAGATGCGGTGGTGCAATGTCGCAACCGATAGTCGGATAGTCCATGTGTTTTCGTGACAGCATCCACCAATGGCTGGCTACGTATTCCAAACGGGCAATCGCCTAGCATTCGACAATGCAACCTATGTATGCTGTTATCATGCAGTCTACCTAAGTATGCCACGTGTATTTGCAACCACTACGAGGTGCCAGTGCAAGGGTGCTCTTGCGTGATTACGAGAAACGATGAGGAAAAGCGCCGCGGGGGGAGGTAGCAAAGGCTAAAAGGGAGGGAGTTGAGCTTAATTTTGTCTCAGACGATGTCTATCAAAGGGCGCGTTTTATACATTACACTCTTCTGCTCTGCATATTGTCCCGGACGGTCTCTTGAAAGCGCAAAACACCATGGGCCTCCGGTTCTGGGAGACGTCCAGCTCGACGCCGGTCCCGCCGCCGGGTGAGGCTGCCGGCGGCGCATACGCATCCGATAGCTCATCGGACATTGTGTATGACGGAGACCTTGCATTTACGCGCGTAAAAGGAGGGAACGGCTCCGAGGCCACCTACCAAGAAGCTGCTGGTGCTCCGGTCGAGAGAGACTCCCCCCTAGGATACCATGTGGGATGGGCGACCATCATCTTTCTCAATGTTAATCAGATGATTGGCACTGGAATCTTCTCAACGCGTCAGTCGCCCCGTTGAACCCGCCATCTCTTTGGTCAAAACCACACTAACGCGCCGCAGCTGGAAGCATTCTCAAGGCCACTGGCTCCGTCGGGCTGGCCTTGATATACTGGACCATTGGCGCCATCATGGCCTTTGCCGGCTTCGGAACCTACCTCGAACTGGCCAGCTATTTCCCCAACCGCAGTGGATCTGAAGTAGTTTACCTTGAGCAAGCATATCCCCGGCCGAAATACTTCTTCCCCATTGCGTTCGCCGTCCAGTCGGTCATACTGTCCTTCAGCAGCAGCAACGCCATCGTGCTGTCGCGATATGTCTGGCGGATTGCCGGGACAACACCGTCTGATTGGCAAATGAAGGGGGTTGCCATCGCGGCATATTCCCTCGCCGTCATTTGTACGTCTGCAAAGGCTGCCTTGACAACGCTTTGCACGCCACACTGCTAACATTCAGCAGGTGTCGTTGCGCACAACAAGTATTCCCTGTGGGCCGTCAATATACTGGGCATCCTGAAGATAATCACCCTCGTCTTCATTAGCATCACCGGCCTGGTCGTCCTCGGCGGCAACGTGTCCCGAGTGCCGAACCCCGGCGCCAACTTTGACAACGCATTCCAAGGTACCACCACCAACGGAAACGACTTGTCCACCGCGCTGGTCAGCATCGTCTTCGCATATAGCGGCTACTCCAACGCCTTCAACGTGGTCAACGAAATCAAGAACCCTATCCCGTCCATCAAAAAGCACGGCTTTGCCTCCGTCTTGATTGTGGCGATATTGTATATACTCTGCAACGTTGCCTACTTTGCCGCCGTGGACAAGGCCCAATTCGCAAAGTCCAAGGAAATCGCGGCCGGTGTGTTTTTCACGACGGTTTTCGGCACGGGGGCTGCTGAAACGGCGCTCAATGTGCTCGTTATGCTGAGCGCCTTTGGCAACCTCTTGGCCGTCTTGGTTGGCCAGTCTCGCATGATCCGCGAAATCGGTCGCCAGGGCGTGCTGCCATTTACCAGCTTCTGGGTGGCGACGAAGCCTTTCGGGACACCAATTGGCCCGTATCTGCTCAAATGGCTCATGACGTTTGTCATGATTGTGGCGCCGCCCGCTGGCGACGCGTTTCAGTTTGTTGTCAGTTTGAAGACGTACCCCGATGCCGTGTTTGGTTTGGCAATGGCCCTGGGTGTCTTTGTTATTCGACGGCGTCGAAGCCGCAACAAGCTGCCAAAATCGCAGTTTCGAGTTTGGGACGTGCTCTTGGTGTTTTACAACTTGGTCCAGGCGTTCCTCCTGGTGATGCCCTGGTGGCCGCCCAAGGGAGGACCGTATGCTGGCGATGTGAGCTTTTGGTACGCTACGTACTGCGTAGTCGGCATTGGCGTGTAAGTTTTTGTCGACCCGAGAAGAGAATATCCGGGCATGTCTAACTTTGTTACAGCATCATTTTATGTGGATTGTACTATGTGGCGTGGATGTATGTCATCCCCAAGTGGAGGGGATATCGCGTTCGGGCCGAGGTTACGCATGCTGAAGACGACAGCGTTCTCTCACATAGACTTGTCAAAGTGCCGCTTGCCGAGATAGGTCAATGGGATGCCGAGCATGATGAGTCTGGCAAGCTGAGGGCGAGGCGAGTCACCGTCAGAGATGAAAAAAGTGAGGGATTTGCTGTGTGACGTCGCCATGGTTTACAGTGTTTAGTGGTTTTATCCTAGTACCAAAGACACGAATAATGAGACAGCAGCACGTCCAACCACGTGGTACCATTACAAATTATCGATTTTGTCAATATTCTTGGTGTCAAATTAGCATATTAAGTTATAAATCCAAGGTACTACATACATCGCTTTGATATCCGCCAATGCAAGTAGCGTATTATACAATGCCTCGCCGGCTCTTTCCTGTCAATCACCGACCCGTCTACGGTCCGTACTGTGTCCAATCCAGAGACTTCACGTCAGGGTAGCACTCGCTGTCGAGAGCGTACTTGTGGCTGGAGATGGAATCAGCAGGTAGGTCGTTTAGCTGAGTGCATTCGGGAACCAGGCGCACAGGAGCGCAGCCGTCAGGAATTTTTCGGTGAATCAAACCATCGTTACCAATGGTCGCCTCGGCCTGCTTGAGGATAACAAAGTACGTATCCCGGTAGTAGTGCAGGCTCTCGTTGCAGGCAACCCACGTATCGGGGTACAGGAAGGCGTATGGCACGGGAAAGCGAGTAATGCCAATGCCGGCCTGTCCAGGACCAGCGTCCAGGTGAGCCGTCGAAACAGTCTGAGAGTTGGGGTCCTTGACCAGCTTGAGGCCCGAAGGGAAGAGAGGAGCGCCGCCGTCGGAGAGGACGTTGGACTGGCTGTACCTCTGCTCAGCCACGGTGCCATTCTGGTAGAAAATGTAGCCGGATCCAGTGCCTGCGCTCTGGCCGACGAGGGCAAGGCCGGCTCCGACGTGGATGCTGGAGACGTAGGTGTTGTGGACGGGAGGCTGGAAGTCCTTGGAAGGGTCGGTGACATTGACCACCAGGTGGAAGCCTTTGGAGGTAGATTTTGACGGGTAGTTGGGGACGACTTGTCGCTCGCCGAGGGGAGAGGCGGCGGTGAGGCCGATGAGGCTGAGGGCGGCGACGGAGATGAGCATCTTTTTGAAATGTTTTCTTGCGCGAGATGAGGATGGAGTTGAGTTGTGTGTTTGGATACCAGATGGCCGAGGTGGCAAACAATGTCGATACTGGGCTGGTTTATATAGGAATCGAAGATGACAGTCTCGTCGGACCTTAATCAACCTCGAGGAGGCACAAGCAAATGCAGCTCCATTGTGACTGGTGGATTAACGACAAGGCCGCGTCGACGAGCCTCTCGTCGAGGACCAGTTGACAGCTTCCAGTGCCGATAGAGCCGAAGCGAATGACACGGTAGCACAGACTTGCGCGCCGGCCGAATTTGCATCGTCAGATCCCCCATGTGAGGTTCGTCCACCCCTTTGGCGTGCGGATGACAGATCCATTCTCGATTGAAAAGAAAGGCCAGAGTCGTGTGCCAAGAACCCTCGTGCGCTCGGGTGGGTTACGTTGGGACAAGATACGACCGACATGTCGTCATACCTCGTCGTCTCTTGTCTCTTCCCCAGACAACTTTTGCACCTGGTGAGGTGAGGGTGCGGCCATCTTCTGAAGCTGTTTATCATCGAATTCAAGCCCACATGACGGTGTTCAAAGGGCAATTATACGTTCAACGGCTTCGCAACATGTGCCCATTTTCAGCAATGGGGTGGCCATGTCTCGCCATATTGTCGCAAATGTAACCCTACCCGGAATCAAGCCACTGCGTGGCAATGAGCCCGCTCAACCGTTATCTGCAGCGCCATAAGAGACCCCTAAATCCGTCAATCATAATGGAACCGGATCTCCATCCTTTGGCATTATTGAAATAATTATGCCCAACACAGATGCGGCGTCGTGAAGATCATTTCCGTTGGCTCATAAATGACATGGGAGCAACTGCACCAACTAGAGCCGTGTAGCTTGAAGACGACAAATACAATCTAATCTTTGATGAATCCAAGAGAGAGTTCCCGGGCGGTCGCTATATTGCGGAGTGGACATATTCAGCAACATTTCACTACATGGGAAAATTCCTCATTAATACATTATACCTGAGTTGACATTTTGCCTGTAAAATCACCCGACAGCAACTCGGCTCAACCCAACTTGTAAAGTTCTTAGCTCTTATTTTGTCCCTTATCACCATGCAATCAGAATAACTGGTTTCGTGGTCTAGTTGGTCATGATTTCTCGCTAACACCGAGAAGGTCCCCGGTTCGAGCCCGGGCGAAACCACTCTTCTTTTTTGCACTTTTACAGTTTAGTTGCTACACCGCGTTTCCAAGAAGGCCGCCGTTCCGCTGTTCCAAGCGTACTTGAACGGTGAGAAGAAAGACAAACTAGCAGATGCCGACCTGGCCAAACTGAAGGGGCTCGTCGAGGAGTTAACCAGCGCTTAACCAATACCAGAGTATTGGAAGTAGTGTAGTTTTGTAGTTTTGTAGTTTTTATAGTTTCGAATATAATAAATAATATTAAATCTAATAAAATACTTATAAGATTATAAGTTTTACGGATAAATAGTATGAATTTCATACTATAAGCTAACATAAAAAAGTGGGTCCTTATAAGCTAAAAATTGAAAATGTAGTTTTCTTGTCAATGCTCTGACCAATACTAAAGCGATTTCGACTAGGACAAGACTTCTTCCAACAGATCTCAATAGATCTACTGTACCTTGCGTGCAGAGTTGCCGATATAGGTCCCAGTAGGCCCTGCGGGATTATTAATACTATTACACTTTAAAGGGCACCAATTATAACGATAATGTATATATACAAGTTTATATTTAGCTATAAAAGAGAGAATTATATACGCTCTTTTTATAAGTACGCTTATTATTAGGGTTATTTACTTATAGTTAAGGGTTTACCCTTATTTAATTATACGTACGTAATTTATACCTATAATAAGTGATTTATTTTAATATACCCCTTAATTAAGCCTATTATTAAGGCTATTATAAGCTCTCTTTTTCTTATTTAAATACTTAATTAAGCGTTAAAGCTATGATTATAAGCTTAATTATATATACCTTACCTTTTCTTAGCGTTTTAATTAA